AATTCATGAGGAACAGTGGTGATGTGAAGATAAACATCGAGTAAAACACACCAACGCACATATTAGCATCCTGGTCCAGTCTCACTTGCTGTCACCAAGACTTTTATTTGCAGCATCTAGGGAGGCCAAAGCGGCGGATACCTGCATTATGTGTTCATTAACGTCACCCACAGAAAAGTCCTCCATATCAATCCCAATTTGGGTCCCATTTGTCTTGGGCTGGTGCTGGTTAACAGGCACTGACTGACACAGAGGGATGGTGCATTATTGCATTATTTGAGGCAGCACAGCGTCGCTGAGCCATCATTTACCAGCCTCTAATCCACAGCTGTATCGGGGGATTTAGAGGTGAGCGGGGGGTAACACACAGATGGAGCAACACCTACAAACACACACAAACTAGCTGACAGACACAAACTCAGTTCAACACAGTTCATAAAACACGCAAATGATAAACACACACTCTTCAACCTCTTGTATCAGCTTTGACACAGCTCCATTTGTGGTTTTATAGATGTGCTGTGCGTGTTTTCTATCTTTATTGGGTATATTTATCTGTGACACCAAGTCTTGCTAGGACATAGGCTGATATATGAAGTCATAATGTATTAGCGCCCTCAGCTCCCTCTATGCAATTGCTGATGTTAAGATGACAAATCCTGAGTTATATGTTATATAGCTCTGTCTACGCTATACAAGCGTGATTTTTCTCTATAAAGCGCGAGTGCTTGAACGTATACGATAGACAGCACACACACTTTTGTGCATTTTCATCATACATCTGTCACACCCACACATTCCTTCCTTTGCTCTCTTCCCTTCCCTTCTAACACCAGTCTTTTCCTTATAAATTAGCCTTGGGATTCTTATTGTGTGTGTTGATATCCCTGTTCTGACTCAGTTGGCTCTTCCTGTCTCTGTACTCATCCCCTAAGATCTGTGCTGATCCGCCTGTCCCATGCTAATCTATATCACACAAGGCTGCAGCCTCCAACACTTCCTTCTGTCCTCATCTCTTCTTCTATCCTTCTATCCACACACGTCTACCCCTCCTCCAGCCTGCTTTGCTTTGCAAAAGGAACAGATATGACACAGGAAGGATATCAGATAACCAAGCATTGATGAATGGTGGACTGGTGCACTGTTTACCACTTTGACTTTCCATTAATGGTCACATCTCATAACTCACTACTAGGTTGGGCCTGGTATCATTTCCGTAACACTTTCAACACAACATGAGTCTAAACTGATTGCTTTCAATTCAGAAATCCTTTGGTGGTCATCTCACTGTGAGCCTGAGTGTCCCTCACACCTATTCTTATCATCAATGAAGGCTTCAATGGCAAATATTTTTAAAAATCCATCACTGATGCAACCTGTGAGAGAACAAAATTTATCTCTGCCTTGATACTAGTTTTCAATTCACCACTGTTCTCCAAAAGCACCACTGCTTCCCACAAAGTGCCAAAAATTGTGTGAGCATTGAGGCCCTCTATCTATAAAGGCCCTACTATGTCTGAATGACGTCATAACGATAATTTAGACAATGGACACCAATGTCTAAATGACAGAAAGCCATTACTTTAACAATGCTGCACATTCTGAAAAGGGCTTATGTCTGTCTCTTTCTGCTGAGGTACAACAAGACAGAAATTGTTTGCAATTTGTTACCAAACAGTTGCTTATTTACACATCCAGCAGTTATGGAGAAACATTATTATTCATTTGGAGTTGTGCTTCTGGCCACCTGGTAAATAAAGTCCAATAAACACTCTCTTTTAGTTCGGTTTTTAGTCTCTACCAACTCCTGAGGGCTGAGCTGAACAGGCTCCTCCACTATCAACTAGCTTCTACCTTCTAGTGTCCGATGTTGTAATAGTGAGACCAAACAGTTAAGGTGCAGGCCAGACAGCTAAACAATGTGCTGAAACTCACTAGAAAGCTCCATAAAGCCAAGTGGAGCTGCTAATAATTCAGATAGTCACATTTTATCATTTTATTTATTAAAAATATTTATTATAGCCACTTTAAAGATGCCATTCATTAACACAGTAAAATCATCCCTCTGGTGGTGTGTTCAAGGATGCTCCAACTACTTGATATTTCAGAGAGAGCAACTTCCCATTAACCTTTACAAGACACCATTGTTTGCAAGTTTGTCCTCTTGGCTGGATTTTCTGACAACACAGTACAGTAGCTCATAACCTTCAACCGTCCTATGTCAGAGCACTCTAGGAACTAAAGGTGACTCCTATACAAAGTAGGAATAACCGGTAACACAGCACCCAGCACTGACCTCCACCTAGTTTGGTTTGCATTAAATAGAGCAAATTTTTACCCCCTTCGCTTTCTGCTGCTTTTGTGGCATTACGCAGCCGTCGCTGCACCACCAAAATCTGAATATCAGTGAGCTGCCCACAGCGAAACACTCGCTTATGATCAGTCATGCAAACTCAAAAGTGGCAGTTTTTTTTTTACTAAATACTTCCCATCTGTTCCTGGGAAAACAAAACGAAACAGACAAAAAAAAAAAAAAAAACGGAAAAATGCCGGAGACAATTCACTCCTCACTATTTAAATAAGTACAAACTGATAAAACGCTTTAAATGCCACTAACTATTTTGCCATGAAAAATAGCTTGCAAATTAGTAGAACTAATATGCTTGTAGGTTAATGTGTGAGTCACTTATCTAATTTTGGAATCAAAATGTCTATGTTACTTCAGAACAGAGGGAGGCACTCCTCTGAAAGAAGGGCAGTGTTGCTATGATTAACGCCGACTGATAACAGGATGGAGGAAGGAGGCTGAGAGAAAGAAGGAGGAAAAAACAGCCTTAATCAGGGTTATTGGAGCCAGAAATAACAAATGAGCCAACACGCCTTTACATAATGAGCCTGAGATTAGACTGAGAGGCAAAACAGGACTAGTCACCTCTACAGTGTCAGAGAGAGAAATAAAGAGGGTTACATGAGGAGAGACGGTGGGAGGGGGAAAGACGATGAGATGAGTAACATGAAGAGGAGGAGGAGAGATGAGGATGGATTACATGTGGAGTGGAGGAAGATGAAGAGACAAAGAGAAATATTTGGTGAGCTGAGGTACACAGCTAGGAGCAAATGCTGTAAATCTCCATTCATATTCTTTGGCTATTCTGTATGCCAAAGGTCATGCCAAGTCACTGAGCTAAAATAAAACAGAGAGACAGAGACAGAGAGTGAAGAGGATGGGAAGTGGGGAGGTGTTGGACAAACAGAGACAGAGCCGAAGAGACAATCTGAGCCGGTCCTGACCTCCCTGGGGCCCTACCCAGATTTCTGCTTAGGGGCTGTCCCACCTTACCCATGAGCCATAAACCATTTGCCATTGCCACACAGTCACACCAGACAGCCCAGTGCTCCAATTACAGTCCTCCCTCCTTTAAAACAGCTTGCTCCATCTGTCAGTCTAAGAATAGGCTGACCTATACAGAATAGAATAAACAAACAATATTTATTCAATTCAAAACTTTCTATATATTCTTAAAATAAGGGATTAATAAGGCTGCAGAAGGCAATTTTTTGTATCATATTTGCTGAAACTTTCACTATATCCTGACAGTAGTACATGAGACTGATCATTTGTGAAAAATTCCAGTTCCTCTTGCTCCAACCCAATGCGTCTTTATATCTTTCTCGTCTCTGATTGGTTGTTTTTGTCCAGGCCCGGTGGATTCTCGCAAATGCCATCGAGAGCTAGAGGAACCTGATTTTTTTCACAGAGTATCTGTCTCGTGTACTACTCTCTAGATACAGTGAAAATTTCAGCAAATACGACAAAAAGTTATGTTGATAAAAGTTACCTCCTGCAGCTTTAACATTCGAATAAATAAGAAATTGTGGAAAATATAAAACATAATAAAATATAACAGTGAGCTTTGACTCTGTTGCATGGTAATTAGCCCAGTCCTCACAATATTATACAATTAGCTTTGGATGCACAATTTAGAAATAAGCCTATTGGCTATGGCTGCAGCTTTAAGTCTCAAAATAGCTGCTTCATACCCATACAAACTGGCTCCCCAAGATTTCCATAAATACATGTATAAATATAAAATAATATTTATACTACGGCATTTCTGAATACTTGATGGTGTTTTATTTATACCCAACTAATCGACATTTTTAATTCAATATTTAAACAATAGTCAGTGTTGCTTTCCATCTTGCATGAATCCACAGTTAACCAAACATTGACTGAGAGACTAGATAATCATTGTCTAGTTTTAATATGATGTGTGTCTGTGAGCAGTGCCATCACGCCCTGTATGCTCTGGAGTGGACTGCTCCCCACAGTATGAACGCATGTTATCTTTATTTGTTTCCCGAGCTGCAGCTTATAAGCGGTGTTGGCCGTTGGCGTTTATCAAAGTTATATTTCACTCTCACTTCAGGCACAAGGTCACAGACACGGAGCGGCCCTGGAAGACACAGACAGACAGACAGACAGACAGAGAGCTGCGCTGCCAGCTGTCAGTAAGTCAGACAGAGCAGAGAGAGAGAGAGAGAGAGAGAGAGAGATATGCACTGTAAGAGTAATGCTAACGATAGCGTGCTAATATGCTAACTCTAGTGATATCCTTAATGTACGCCCATTATGCTAACGTGGAAAATGTTGCGTCTTAAAAACGCTAATTGTGAGCAAGTTATGCTAATGTCAGCATCATGCTTAACCGCTACCATGCTCATTGTCAACTTCCAACATCAGCATCCATACTAACATGACAGTGTTAGCACATTAGCGTGCTATCTGTCAGCTCAAAGCCCAGCTGAGGTTGACAAAGTACATGAGAGGCTGATAAGAGTAAGTTACAGCTTTAGCTTGAGAGTAATGAATGCTGAATGTGAAGTTGGGGATAAACTCTTTTGTTTCAGGTACCAAGATGGCGTCTCTCCTCTGGTCCGGCCACAGCACAAAGTGGCTCAGTGAAGTTTACCATGCAGGGCTGCTAGGTGAACTAGTGGCGAGCCAGGAAGATGCTTGTAAGTCACTTTTTCCTCTTCTACTGGGACATTTAGTCCGCCATGACATTTTGTTCTCAGGACTGTTCATCATTTCAAGAGTGAATATTGAAGAGGGGGGGCAGAATATTTAAGGTGGGGGGTTAGCTGACATGCTAACTGTGAGTTACACAGCTGTAAGTTGGTAAGCTTGTTAGCTCGGCACAATATTGTTGAATAGACACAAAAATATGTACTTTAGACTCCTGTCTCGTAACTGTCTGCTAATGAATCATGTTTTGTAGAGCAGTTTATAGCGAATGCCACAAAAATAAAACACAGCTAATAAGCTATGTTAGCTTCCTTCATTTTGGACTCTCCTTTGCTTTAAGTACACAGAAGCTGAATGTGAAATGAACTCACTAATTGCAGACATGAAGTGGTTAGATGTTTCCTGTAATGGTAAAAATGATTAATTAAGTAATTGTGACCCATTTAGTTTGTTTCTCTATTGGTACTGTATTAACTCAAGTTAAATATAAGTTATGCACAGTCTTTATTTTTAAGGCTGCATGTGTTTTTAGAGTTAATGTAGTGTTAAAGCTCTCTCTAATATACTATTAAAGAACGTGTGAATTGAATTGAACATGCAGACCGAACTGGGCCGGGCTGTCTGGGGGAGGGATGGATGGAGGGATGGATGGAGGGATGGACTGGTGGGAAGGGGAGGGAAAACAATGCTGTGGCCGGTGAGGCCAGGTCATAGTGTCACCTTCAGAGGCATTTGCCGATGGAAACTGACTCGCTCAGAAAACAGAGTCATGTCCAGCCACCCGTGGATGGCATTGGTGCAAGCACACATGTACACAGACACGCACACACACACTCACACGTATGAGCCCAGATGTTGTACAAGTCAAAACAATCACACAGACGCAAACTAACTCAGTGCATATCTTTCCTTCTCTCACCCTCTCTGCCCCTCTTTGTTTGATTGTCTCTCTCTCTCTGTCTCTGTGTCTTGGCCAGTGTTCTTGTCTGTCTCCGTGGCGGCTCTGTTATCCCTCCTGGCACTCTCTGTGCCATGTCTTGGCTCGCCTGTGCAGAGTGATGTCTTCATTGCAATCCACCAGCGTCTGTTTCTTTACACCCCCCCTAAACACAATCTCACCTCCGTACCAGTTTCCATCATCCACTTTCTTATTGAAACTGTGTCCTGTAAGCTGCCAGGGTTTCCCCACAGTCTAGTGGACTTTCGGCCTCAGCGCCGGCCCAGCGTGTGATTGCTGGAGCTGTAGATTGTGCGGTAACTTCCGAATTAGGTGGTTTGGTTTTGTAGAGGGGGGGGGGGGGATGCCCTTGGGTGGGGAGTTGGGGAAAGATGGTGCAGTAAGAGGACAGGACAGGGAGAGGAGAGCAAAAGATAATTACGCTATTTAACAGCTCAGGAAAGTGCAATACGGTAGTGATAGGTGATTGTGTGTGTGTGTGTGAGTGTGTGTGCACGCTTAGGGGAAATCCTGCAGGGTTTTCTCTTCTCGTTCTCTGCTAGGCCAGCAGAAACGGGAGAGGGAGAGACCAGTAGCAGGTCTGCCTACAATCACAGAATCCCACTATCATTTTACATTCGCCTGCTCAGGGGAACGCTGACTGCTCCGGGGGCTGAGGCACTGTTGCTCTGCTGTCATCACAGTTTAATGCAAACTTTGTATCACAAACAGGTGGGCAATCATTCTTTACCTTTTTTTTCCCCCACTGGAACTGCCCTTGGTAATTCTTCCAGCCTAGTGTTGCTAATAGAGTGATTCTCTAAACTAGCAACGTAAGAGAGGAGGATGGCAAAGTGGGATTTTAGCCTGAGATGTCTTGCCTGATAATCAGACTTAATTGCTATTTTGTTTTCATTTATTTAGGCTAACGTTGTGTTAATGCTAGCCGTTTTCGTCATTTAATAATTTTTCTTGCACCTTTTTTTGGAAGATGATGACCCAATACTTAACCCCGCCAGGCAAAGCTCTAGTTGGATTGGCTGAAATTCGGGTGGTCGTGTTTTTAATGTTTTTGTACATACATCTGATTGATTGATGAGAAATCAATGTATAGACCAAAGTCCTATAATTTGTTGGATACATAGTTCATAATAAAGCAGTTATGTGATAAGCATTTACAAAATATTCCATATTTTTTAGCTTAAAAATACCCCATCATCAACATTGGCAAGGCATTAGTCAGTTAAAATCCTTCTTGTACTGACACTGGTGGATGGATGGAAGAGAGATACAAGATTGATACTTTAGGCTTGACGTGATTCGGTGATGTAGTTTCCCCATATCACTACATCTCTGGCTACAGACTGATGGAAATCTTAGCATGCTGCCAGCTTATTACCAGTGTTACTCAGCCCGGGCATTAACAAATCTGCCCTCACAGACCAGAGCTTGAATGGAAGCCAACAGAGAAGTTATAGAGATGTCAGCTGAAGTCAGAGGAAATACCACCTCTCTCAGAAGATTAAATTGCAGGCTAAATTTGATGCTGGTATTGCCTCTTGCAGTCGCTGGCTCAAGCCCCGGTAGTGTTTTACTTGTTTTTATTTTGGCCTTAATTTAGCCAGTGTGGTCTCTTGAGATTGAAATTGTATTTTTTGTACGAGTGCTGCAGAGTCCTGGACAAAATGGCAGCAGAATTACAGTGTGTTACATGAACCAACAGCCAACAAACATCCACTTATTAAGTGTGTGTAGTGCTAGAGGTCCAGTGTGTAACATTTAGGAGGATCTATTGGCAGAAATGGAACAAAATATACAGAGGTACGTTTTCATTAGTGTATAATCACCTAAATTTAATTCATTCAGTCTGATAACGTTTGGAAAGTCTAGAAGAGCTGCACGATTAAATCATTTTAGCCCCATTTAAGTCCGTGGAGTGAAGTCAGCTGCCTCGCCTGGTGGAAGTCTCTGGAAGAATATCTCTCTAATATTCTTTACAGCGGGAAGTGGCTCTTTTTGCTTCATGCGCCACTGAGCAACTTATGTTGGAATGAATGGAGCCTTGCCTCCAACGCTGTATCCAGATCTGGTCATACATCCATGGCAGTTAGGGATCATTACTACTTAAATTCTGTGTGCCAACACTTTTGGTTTTACCTCCAGATAATTGCGGTTCAGATATTCTTACCAAACTATTGTCAACCCGCCTGATCTGACTGCTAGTTTCTCGCTCTGTGACTAGATTGTGTATTGTGCGTTCAGCGTGTGTGATAGTGTGTTTGTGTGACTGACTGCTGCTGTACACTTGTATGGATGATGTGATGGCAGTGACGCAAGGTCTGACTCAGACTGTGTCACGGCATCTATACGTCCTTGTCATAGCTGTGAGCACAGCACTGACAAACTCACTCAGTTTGTCTCTTTAAGCCAACATCACATCGGAGTTGGTTGGGTGGGGCAGAAGAGTGGGAGGGTGAAGCGGGGCGGCGGGGGCACCCCAGCTCTGACCGGGCCCAGCTCAGCCTGGCCTGGTTCGGTAGAAGAGAAGTGATGAAGAGAACAGGGGAGACAGGGGAGGAAAGGACTTTTGAATCGCAGACATCGAAGGAGGGATCAGAGTGACAGAGGGGGGAGGAGAAAAGGGAGGGAGAACCAAGAGCAAAGGGGAGGGTTTAGGGAAATAGATTTGAGAGAGAGCGAGAGAGAAGGAGAGAGGGAGAGAGAGAGAGGGAGGAGGGAGAGACGGAGAGAGTATGTGAAGCACGCTGCCAGCGCTCTCTCGGTAATGCACTGTGAACGGGGACAAGCAAGAGAGCGAGTCTCACACACACACACACACACACACACACATTCACACACGTACATGCTGCCTCTGTCACACACCCTCACACCCGTACACCTTCACACTGTGCCACTCCTTCACACACACACACACACACACAACCCTCACACGTGTGCATTGAGGCTGAGAGGTGCCTTGGTCGGGAGACACACTTTTCCCCCTGTCTCTCACTGTGCAGCTGGACTCAACAGAACCAGACCGGACACTGTCACCCACCAGTGGAGACTCGCATGAGCGGCGGCAACACAGCATCTACCGTAAGGCACGGCTACCTGCCAGCACAAACCCCCTCCCCTATTCCCTTTCACCTCCTCTCCTCTCCTCTCCCTCTCTGTCTCCCTCCATTCATTCATCCCTCGTTCTCCCAGCTGCGAGGCGGCATGCGTGGCTGAAGGACACAGCGCTGCGCTCTGCTGTGGTGTAGCGCGCTGCCGAGAGAGTTGGAGAGCCCGATCCGACAGGGGGGATAGATAGACTCACTGCACTCCCTCCCTCCCTCCCTCTCTCCTCTTTCTCTGTGTCCCTGTCTGTCTCTCTACCCCCGCGCTCTCTCGTTCATGAATGTCACCTCTATCTCTGGGAAATGCTGGATTTATCAAGCCCCTGTCTTTTTCCCCTTCTTCTCTCAGGGTGCGGGTGAACGCAAGGGGTGATGCCAGGAGTGCTTGAAAGACAGCGAGGAAACAAGCCGCACTCCGTCCAGCTGCGTCCATCCACATCCCTTCATCCTCGACCCAGCTTGCGGAGCTGATACCTCAGGTCGGACGGTCCCTACTTCTTCTACTTCTCTGTCATTGTTTCGGGATGGAGAAATTTTACAGGTGAGGGGCAGAAGGAAAAGGAGCTGCAGTGTGCCCCGACACTGTCACTCCTGCTATTGTGGAGAGTTGATATTCGGACGTTTTTCTGTCCCACTGAATCGATTCAGGCTCCTGATCTCCGGGACTGAGCGGGTTAGGAGGACTAAATGTGATTTTTGTGTGGGTTTCATCATGCGGCGAATGGTTCTGTTGCTGAACCCTTTCGGACAGGATTGAGTCAAACTTCCAGGGAGCTCCAGGAGTGGGGTAAGGGTACCCTCGGACTGGGACAGAGGCATTGGGAGACGTCAGCTACGGTGCGTTGGTTTTTGGCTGGATAACAACATGACTTGTCCCAACACAGTGACGTATCAAGGCTTCACCTGAGTCTCACTCTTAACCAGAAAACAAACAACCAGAAGGACATTTAGAGGCTATCGCTCATCAATCCGAAACCTCAACGAGCACCAGTTGTCAGTTTTGGGTGGGCCTTTCAGGGATCCACCCTTATTTCCTCCACCTCCTCCTCTTCCTCCCCTCCTCTCCCTCTTTTTCTTTTCCCTGTTGCTTCGGTCCATCCTCAGAAGCCCCCTCCTCCGCTCCGCACCCCCTCCCTCAGCGGTGCTCCGTCGCCCTGGGTGAGTGGGCAGGGGGGTGGCCCACGGTACCCCCCGACACCTGGGCGCCACCGAGCCGCCAGAGGCTGGTGAGGCGGCGGCAGGGTCAGAGCTGGGAAGATGGCTGCTCTCGCCAGCTCCCTTATTCGCCAGCGCAGGGAGGTCAAGGACCCCCAGGCAAACCGGCAGATCGCCAGCAAGCGCAAGCCCTGCCCAAAGAGCAACAAGTCGCTCTGCCAGAAGCAAATCCTAATATTAATATCGAAGGTTCGACTATGTGGCAGTCGAGGGAGAAAAATGGAGAAAAGACCAGGTGAGTTCCCGCAGGCCTTCCTATTAAAATCTCACCTTCCTTCCTTCCTACACCATGTTCATCTTCTCTTCTTCTTTCCTCCGATTTCTGCCTGTACTGGATAACTGGATTTTGATGGTTGACTTGCCAGACTACAGATTAATCCTCAACTGTAAAGCCTCAATAAAGAACATCCCCAGTCTGTAATTTCTAGTTCAGGACTTAATCTGAATCTGGGAAACATCCCAGCCCATCTTCCTGGTAGCTGTACACAACATGTCCCTGTATTTATGGTAGAACAGGAAATGGACAGAGTAAATTCCAGCTTAATACACACAGATTTGTACCACTGACCAGAGGCATGACCTAGCCCGTGTTGTGACTGTATTGTGACTTTGTTGAGGTGCATGTCAACACATCCAGACACACGCTGGTAATCTGCAAGCACACAACAAACTTGGCTCATACATACGGTGATTTACTATGATATAAAAATGTCACAAGGCGCCTCATTTGCAATTCTGGGGGCCATTACTCTCTCTGTGCTTCCCTCAAGGCAAGTGAAACACAGTGCGGCCTAATTTGTCTTGTGTGTTTTCATGTTAAATGTAATTACAAAATTATTCACTGAAGCTAAATGAGACAGTGACACCTGATTTATGTGACGAGTGTGTCTGTGCTGTATGTGGTGACGGTGTTCGACATTATGAGCCACAGATAAATTGAATTTTTGAGAATAATTCCTCTATATTGATGATATTAATGATTGCAAAATGTCGATGCCTTCCAATAATATGGTTCTTCAGAGGTTATGTGGTTTGGGTGAAACCCTTTGGATCTATTGAGAAATACATTTCTAAATTTAGAAAAGGAAAGTCAGGCAGTAAAAACACACACTCACCAGTGGAGCTGGCCACTCGTACATGAACACAATGTGCTTCTGTAGGCCAGACAAGGTTTGTTTTCATATTAATAGTATAGTTTAATCATTTGCCCTCTATTCAGTGAATGATATAACAGTTGGCTTGATACATACATAGGCATAAAAATCAATAAAAGTCAATATGGAAGGTTTTTTTTGGAGGGGGTTGCTTTGATTTTTCAGAAGTTGTTTTTCTTAAGGTTTCTGGTATTTCCATTTTGCTTTTTATGAAGTTATATATTCTATTTTTATTGTGTGTGTGTGTGTGTGTGTGTGTGTGTGTGTGTGTGTGTGTGTGTGTGTTTGTTTTCTCTCTTTTTTGGAAGTCATGCTGGCATATTTGATTGAAAACTACATCAGCCTATTCCTCTGCTTTCTCATTTTTAAGTTCAACACTGTGACTGTATCGTTTCACAAAGATCTTGGGTCACTTAACACGACAGTATGTGTGTGTGTTCCCTGATTGAGCTTGTCCTCACCTCACCAGTCTGCATTTGTGTGTCCCTATCCCCACGTCTACCTTCCTGCACTTCCACGTATAGTATGTGTGTGTTCTCTCCCAGCCTGTGTGTGTGTGTGTGTGTGTGTGTGTGTGTGTTCTGTGATATTTATTACCTTGGTGTGCCAAGTTCATCATGATAATTACGTGGGGAACCTCTAACGTTGGAAGCAGCATCTGCCATAGAGGCGGCTGCTCTCTATATTGTAATTACGGTTGTAAAATATGTTGGACAGGTCGTGGCAGTGCCAGCTCTTTGGGAAAAGGCCACGCGTGCACCATGCCCATTGTTTAAAAAACATTTCCATCCTAATGGCTCCAGTGCTTCTCACACTCTTATGGATTTATTATGGTAATCGTAGGACAAGGTATGGAGGCTGTGGTTAGAGACGCATTACCAGTTTCACCATTTCAGGTTGTGATTTACAGGGGTCCGCGTTAAGTACCGTGTGTGGCAGTGTGCGTCTTCATCATTCTCTCAAGGAGTCTCTACGTGCATGTACGTGTGTGTTCTGCAAATGGAGGACACTGCTGACCCCTGGCCGTGTGTGTGTGTGTGTGTATAGCTGGTGTATGCTCATCATGTGTGAGTTTCTCCCTCCTCCTCTGAGCTTCAGCCTGAGGCCACAGTTGACCCCTGGCCAGGAATAAACGACTAGAATATTCCTGAGCCGTAGCCTCCACCTCCTCCTCCTCTACCTCCTCCTCTTACTCCTGGCAGGACTTCAGAGTAGCCTGCTTACAGCTTGCGTTCACTTTGCCTCCAACTGGCTTCCATTGTTTCTACTGGCATCATTCGGCCACTATTGGCTTATTCTGCATCCTGTGGCTTATAGTCTCGTGCATTGTCTTGTATTTTGGTTGGTTCCCATTGTTTTCTGATGGCTTCCATTGTCGCGTTGGTTTCCTTTGGCTCTGGTTGCCTTCTCTTGGCTGCTGTTGACTTTTGTCAAGCACAGATTCTCAATTTTCATTTCTCATAAGGTTCTAGGAACTACCTGAGGCTTATAAATAAAGATTCCACCCAGTTTTTACCACAGACAACTGATGACAGTATGCTATATTACAGTTATCAGTATGTGTACAGGCTTATGATTTATAATGCAAGATCAACAGCACATTTGTGCTGTGATACTTCACAGGGGCCGCGTGTCAGTATTATAGATGCAGCCATTAACTATCATCGTTATGTTTGCATTTACTGTAGGTTAAACCTCTAATGACATCTGTGACAATGTGTGCATTTAGGCCCAGAAGTCGGTAATTGTATGCTGCTGTTTCCAGGCAGGCAGAGAAAGACTCAGCAGCGCAGAAGCAATATGATCACCCTCAGGTTGCAGGTTACACAAGGTATGGTGGAAAGTTTCACCAGAAAACCAATAGTGAAATGGCAACTTTCTGGGTCAGTGGTGTAACGTCAGACAGTTGACCTATAACCTGTTCACATACAGTATCTACCATGGCCGTTACATATTACAGTGGACTTATTTGTAAGGGTTCAGTTTTACTTTAAAATCATAATCAGGAGCTACTGTAACCATGGTTGGGAGGGTTACTTTAAAAATGACATCCGATAAAGTCAGTACCCTAATCCAGGTATCACAATATTAAAGTAGTGTAACTGGATTACTTTCCGTTACTTTTTGATTACCTCTACACCAAAGATGTAAATAAAAACGAGAAAAGAAATGTTAATAAGAGGTATTGATGTTAGTGCATTGTATAGGAAAACAGAACAATTTTAATTGAAAGTTGACTTTTAGCATCAAATATGTATCCTCTGCTCAGTGTTTTTTTTTAAAGAAAAACTGATGTATTTTAAAACTGTATTCCTGCTAAATAAATCTCAATTTAATGTAATCTGATTAGGTCTTTTTTTCTATTACTGTAATGGATTACAGTTACCCTTTTTTGTATCCTGATTATGTAACTCAGTTACATGTAATCCATTACTCGCCAAGCCTGACTCTTTACTGCTAACAAATACCAGGTGTGCCTGCTGATACTCAGTTACTCAGTAGGCTAACGCTGCCAACATCATGTACCAATGCCTCTGTCCTTGTGTGGAGTAACTCTACTCTATATATGGTTTAAATAACAGTGGTAGCTTCTTTTCGTTTCCACTGAATGCTATGGGATTTCACCGGTAACTCTTTGCATGCTCTGGCTTCATCTGCAATCCTTTGTAGAAACTGCTCAAATGGGTACGTTTCATCCAGCTGTGCATTTCTAGAAAGGATGAGAAAAGTAAAAAAGAAAGAAAAACTATGTGGTGCAAAAGGCACATTTACAAAGTGAAGATGAAATGCCTTGACTTTGTTTCTTCTGGTGTAGAGAAAACACTCCAGCTGCCACTCCCTGTTACACACCTCCATTCTTGTAGAAATGCTGAAGAATAAAAGAACAAAAACAGCGATGGTGTCAGGAGTGTGTGTAACTTAGTTGGAGTCCAGTTGGGGGCCATTGTTAAATGTCATCCCCCTTGCTAAAAAGCTAAAAATGCCATATTTTAGGTGAGGAGCAACAATGACATTCCCCGATGTATCAAACTTACTGGGGCTCGAGTAATTATGTAATCTTGTCACGTCACTTAACTATATTTGGTTAGAGGAAGTTAATGGAAAAAATAATTAACATTTTAATTAGGTTGGATTTTAGAATATGCTTAATGGAAACCATACTACTGTAAGATAAAGTATCAGTTTGGGTTTGGTTCCCTTCAGGACATGCAGACATCCCCACATATTTCCCCTCAGTATAGTCCCAGTGAAAGCCCAGCGTGTGTCACAGGTTTGTGATTCCCCCCCCCCACCATATAAGGAGTTAAGACTAAAAATGTTCCAGCACACATGCGCCCCACTTTGAAAAATGTGGTCACCTCATATCAAGTCCAGTATGTTGTGACACGTCCCACGCATAAAGTAATGGCACCTCAAATAGGTAGTGCTTCTGTGTGTGTGGAGATGTTATCATGCGTCTAACAGTCTGTGCGTCACTGCATTGTGACTGCTTAGATTCCTTTTGTACTGTTGAAGGCCATTGGAGGCTATAGAGTGGGCTTACCAACTAACAAGTGGACTTTGTTTGTGTGTGTGTGTGTGTGTGTGTGTGTGTGTGTGTGTGTGTGTGTGTGTGTGCGTGTCCTCAAACATTCGCTGTACCTGCTTCAAATTGACGGATGTGGGGGTGGGAGGGGTGACGTGTGTTTGTGTGTCCCGGCCTGACCCACATACCCTCCCCCTCTTACCTTCTCTCTCACACTGTCATCCCGCAACTCTCCCCACTCTGTCACCCCCTCACCTCTACACACACACACACACACACACACACACACACACACACACACACACACACACACACACACACACACACACACACACACACACACACCTTCTAACCCTCACCTAACCCATACTAATGATGCCCCAGCACTACAGCCCACTCAGCTTATAACAAGGTCAGCTTGCCCTGCACAAACACACACACACACACACACACACACACACACACACACACACACACTTTCAAGTGCAGATATACACAAGCACATATCTATAATTACAAACACACACACTTGCATAAATACAAACATAAAAAAAA